TAAGAAGTGAGGTTAAAAGGGAAGCTCATAAAGGATCTTGAAAGGAAGGCCAAGCAACAAGAATATTTTAACTTTTAAAAATAGTAACTGTTTCATTTTTGTTTTTGCATGCCCCATTGCCTGGCACTTAATAGGTGTTTAATAAATACTTGTTAGACACTGAAAGTTTTTTAAATAAAACATGACACAATACAATAAAAAAGGAAGGAAATATATGGAATTTTAGGAAGATTAATCTGGTGAAGGCATGTAGGGTGAATTGGAAAAAACCTAGAAGAGGGGAGACAAATTAGAAAGCCATTATTCTACTGCAGATAAAGTGATTGGGTCCAGGAGTCAAGTGGTGGCAATGAGAATGGAAAAAACCAGGAAAGATTAGAGAAACAATACAAAGGAAGAAAGGACAGGACTAGGTAGCAGCAATGGGTATTACACATCACAACTGGTGTTTTGGTCCCAACTCTTTCTAGTATAGACATGTTTGAGTTGGCCCAGTCTCCAAAGTATTTAATCCTCAAGAACACTGAACTGAGGTTTTGTGCTCAGAGACAAGTAAATTGTATCCCTTGAAGCATCTCCTATGATTGGGTCCTGGAGCTAACTTTCCCAAATAGAAATCCTTCTGCTACCCCATAGCACCCTGGTCTCTGTCAAAAATGATTCTATCAGGTCCTACCACCAAACCCAAGAGCCCTTCTGTGGCCTGTCCTCCACTGTGTGATCTGGGCAGATGTGCATAGGCCCAAGACTTTGAATACCTTAACATCAGGAGTCTCAATACAGCAGGCTTCTGCAGTAGGAAGAGGTCATGGAATCCTGAGATCTCAGAGCTCAAAGACAGCAACATTGCCTCTGGCCAGATATTCTATGGGTGAGGGGCTCCTGGACACTGGCATAGCCAGTCTCAGGTAGAGTGATGTGAGTATTTGCAGTTTCATCCAACCTGTAGACTCTACTGGAGAATGGAAGGAACAGGTGGAACAAAGGTTCTCACTTCTCTATCCTGGGAGGGCAAGGAGAGAGCCTTGCAATATCCCACTGGAAAGAATGGCCTTCTCTCTCATCACCAAATAAGACATGCTGTCTAGGGTAAGATTAATTTATTTGTAATTTACAGTAGAACTAGATAAAGACACTGCTTTTAGGACAGGCCAAAAACCACTGTAAGAAAAGCTGGCGTTTTATTTCGTACAATGTATATCAATGAAGATTCCATCTGATGTTCAGTATGATAAGAATCATGGTGAATGGTGAAGTCCCTTTGACAAGCTTCTATTGCATTTCAGTAATACATATGGTGCTAAGTTTGCATGGCCTGTCAGTGTCTGACATGGTGTTTTATGGGTGAGAAACAGGAGTTGGAGGAGAGGGAGAAGGGGGAAGTAGGTGACACTTTGGATTCTGTTTGGTAGCTGCCTATCTTTCTCCATAATCATGAGATTGTAGGTTTTAGTATTTAAAAGAAACCTTAGAGATCAACTAGTCTAACTCCCTGATTTTATTACTACTACTCAATAATAAAAATAAGAATAGCTGACATTTATAGAGCACTTCAAGGTTTACAAAGCACTAGACATATATTATCTCATTTGATTCTCACAGCAATGCTGTGAAGAAGATTTTCTTATTATCCCCATTTTACAGAGGAAGAAACTGAGTCTGAGAGAGGTTAGGTGACTTGCCCATGGCCACACAACTGCTAAGTGTCTGAGGTGAGATTTGAACTTAAGTCTTCCTGATTCCAAGTCCAGCACTCTCACCCACTGTGCCAGACTGAGGCCCTCAATAGTTAAATGGGATGCCCAGTCACACATGGAGCAAACAGTAGAATCAAAATTGTGACCTAGGTCCTCTGACTCCAAACCCACTGTTCTTCTCCTCTGTATTCTTGCTCTGTGGCCAAGAAGGAATCACAAAGATTGTGTTGCTTGGTTGTGAGGAGCAAAGGAGCTTGAGAGTAGAATGCAGGTTTTGAACCCCAAAACCTATAGTTTTTAGATCTTATGGAAGGTGAGGACAAATGAAAGCAGAATGAGGAAAAAGAGCAGTACAGCAGCTTGTAACCCAGACTTACTGCTGATTCCACACCAGAGCCTGCACAGGAACAGGCAGCAGGGAGGGTTCTAAGTGGTAGGCGAGTAACAAAGAACTCCTGAGACTCCAGACATTTCTCAGCACCTAGACCTATTATCTGCATCTCACTAACTAAGGGTGAGGCAAGACCTAAAACCTTGTGTAGACCTCACTGGGTTGGAAGAGCTTGCGGGTTCTGCCTCACTAGAGATGCTAAAGTGTAGACTGGATGGTCACTTGTCAAGCATGTCATAGGAGGGATTCTTGTTTCAAGTATATGTTGAACTGGATGATCTTTGAGGTCTTTCCGACTCTTAGGTTCTGTGGTTCTGATTCTGTAGGTGGCAGGCATCAAACTCTTGAGATGCCAAAGAGTCAAAGAGAAGAGGCCTGTCTAATGAGCGGCCACAGTGAATGCATATTTGTAAGAGAAGAATTCAGAGCAAAAGCCAAGCAAGTAAGTTCCCTGGAATGACTCCAAAAGCAAGAATTAAGTTAGAAAAAGTCAATTTGTGTTTACAGATACTGTGTCTATGTAGATCACTTTTTTTTCCTAAAGAAGGATAATGACAGAGCTTCTTAACCTCTGCCCATGAACTTTAAAAAACAAATTTTAGTAATTGTATTTCAATATAATTGTTTTCCTTTGTAAACATATACATCTTATTTTATTCATTTAAAAACATTATTCTAAAAAGGGGTTCATAGGCTTCACCCAACTACCAAAGTGGCTCATGACACACAAAAAAGAGCTAAGAACCATTGTGTTAATGGAAGTAATTAGAGGTGGCAGGAAATTCCAATTAGCAGAAACAAATCCAAGAAGTAGAGCTTCTAGGAAGTACCCAGGATAAGGAAGATGTGAAGATGACCCCAAAGGAGAACAGCCCCAAAAGGACAACTGGCCATTTTTCTCATGGCTTATAAATTCATCTGTATCTTTAATTTCCCAGAAGTAGGATGGGAAGAGCACTGGCCCTGGAGTCAGGAGGACCTGAGTTCAAATGTGGCCTCAGTCACTTGATAACTTACTAGCTATGTGACCGTGGGCAAGTCACTTAACCCCAATTGCCTCACAAAAAAACAAAACAAAATAGCAACAAAAAAGAAGCAGGATTGGTAAAAGCTCATTATCATTCAGGAATGTATCAAGAAAGATTCTTGATCTTATTAATATTTTAACTCATAAGACCTCTAAGAATAGCGAGTTCCCTCAGTTTACTACTTGTTTAAAGTTGTAATTCACTTTTCTATCCAACAATTATTTCCTTCAAAAATGTGCTCCCACATTCTAATATTCCAGGATTTAGTGAACATATCCATGTTCACCCTATCCATTGTCGCTCAACATTTTTAAAAACTATGTTTTTATTCTCAGATCTTTTTTTTTCTTTAGGAGTAAGAAGTTCTGTATTTTTAGCCTGCTTTTGCATTAGAAATGCTTCAGCCTACAGCAAAAAGCCCCAAGTGAAGATTCCCTAAAACCATTTCCATTGGTTCTACTCAGATTTATTGTGGTTTCTTCTCCACAGCCCATGTTCCCATCACTCTGACATCCCCACACAACTCTGCAGTAATTGTCTCCCAGTGTTCTTTGAGGCATTTAGCTTAGGAAGAGTAGTTAGGTAGAGAACAAGTGTTATTTTGCTTCAGTGTGTGTGTAGAAATCCCAGTGTTCAAACTATATACAGGAAAGTAATTACAGATATCAACTCATCACTTACTTTATACAGGTTAATATGAAAATAGAGTTTTTAGTAGTCCCATCTAGTTCCATTTCCTTGTTTGCTCTAATTTTTACCACCACCACCACGAACAACAACAACACCCCCAGTGACAACCAGAGGACTAGTCAAAGAACAAATAAGATCCTTTTTTGTATTATTTATAGGTTCACCTCAAAGTCAAAATCCAAACACAAAATCCAAGTGGTTCCCCTATTTTTCTCTTCACAGACCATCTCTGATCTAGGCTCTTTCCTCACCTACAACCCAGGACTAATATCCAATCGAGGCACCTTTGTTCTCCCTTAATCCTTTCTCATTTTCCTGTACTACCCCTTTTAATAAATGCTAATTTTTCACACACTTTCCCCATAACCACCCATCCCAATACCATATCTAAAAACAATTTAATGTGGATTACTTTGGTCTCAGCTAGACTAAGGTTACCATATGACTCCAGGGAGGTGTTTGGAGGCCAACATTCACTTGCTCACACTGCACACTATCTATAAGCAATGTGCTCTAAATGCAAGAATATGTTGTACTCTCAATTCCTAACAAAAAAACTCATTTTTCATGCAACTGGATCCCAAGGATGGAGATGAGGGAACCAATGGTGCAGAATGAACCATTTAATTTAAACATACTCCTATGCACATCCTCTGAGCTACTGGTGAGAATTTAGGACCATGAATCATTAAGCCATAGTATCCCTTTTATATATGTCCCTCACGATAAACAGTAAGTACTAATGATGAAGTCCTCTCAGAGAGAGGAGGGGACTCACTTGGGTAGTTTAATTTCAGATAATCATTTTCTCTTCATTTTATTCATAAGCTCTAGGATGGAGAAGTTTAAGGGATTTACCTTTAAACAAAGAGGAAAATATTCTGATTACAAGCTGGAGCTGTTGGTAGTTATTATATAAAGAACTATGAGAATATTTCCTAAGAGTTGGTGGAAAATATCTGTAGTCTCTGTTTTCAACCTGATTTCTTCTGGCTGGCTACACACCATAGTCATATCCTTAGGCTGTCACTAAAAAGCTAGTTTTTAGCTCTAGTATATTCTATATTTTTTATTTCCAGTATAACATATTCTTCACGTAAGTTTTCTTTCTTTCCATGGTTGTCTAGACAGAAGCTTCATCCATTCATTTCCATCCCATAGAATTTTCTCCCATTGTTCCCACAGAAACCCAAGATGACCACACCAAAAGAGAATCAGACCACCACAGTGACTCATTCTGCTTGGTTTTCCCATCAGTACAGAGGTGGAGCTGCTGTTCTTTGTGTTCCTTCTGCCCTCTTACCTGATTACACTCCTGAGAAACATCCTCATCACCTGCATTGTTGTGTCCTACTCACACCTCTACACACCCATGTACTTCTTCCTCTGCAATCTCTCCATCTTGGACATCCTCTTCACCTCTGTCATTTCCCCAAGGGTTTTGGCCAATTTGGCCACCGGGGATAAGACTATCTCCTTTGCTGGGTGTATCATGCAGTGCTTTTTCTACTTCTTCCTGGGGACAGTGGAATTTCTTCTATTGACATCCATGTCCTATGACCGGTACACTGCCATCTGTAACCCACTGAGGTATAGCACCATCATGAGTCCTTCTATGTGCATTGGGCTGGTTCTTTTCTCATGGGTGGGTGGTTTCTTGTCTGTTCTCTGCCCCATCACATTTATCTCTAGGTTGCCCTTCTGTGGATCCAATATCATTAACCACTTTTTCTGTGACAGTGGACCCCTACTGGCTCTTGCTTGTGCAGACACAACATTTATTGAGCTGATAGATTTCCTGCTATCTTCCTTAGTCATCCTCTGCTCCCTAATCCTCACTGGATTCTCCTATGTTTATATCATCATGACCATCTTACGAATCCCATCAGCCAGTGGGAGGAAGAAAGCCTTTAACACCTGTGCTTCTCACTTGACCATAGTAGTGATTGCTGGTGGGATCACAGTCTTTATATATGTGACTCCCTCCCAGAAAGAAACCTTGGAGATCAACAAAATACATTTAGTGCTGAGCAGTGTGGTGGCACCTTTCCTCACCCCCTTCATCTACACCCTGCGCAATGACACAGTGCTGAGGAATCTCAGAGAGGTGTGGGTGGGAGTCAGAACATTCTTAGTGGGAAGGAGGAGGGAACTGCTACGTAGAGTATCTAAAAAAGATCATTGACAAAAAAATTTAAAACTCTTTCTCTTCACTTGAATAAGAACCATTTTATTGTATTATATGAATACATTAAAAATATAATATTTAACATATCAATCTATTTAGTATAATATATTTAATAAAATATATCTACTATAATATTAATGTTTGTTATATAATCATATAAATATATAATAAATCCTTTTAATATTTACAGTCATGTCAACATATACCAACATCCCTCCTTCTCTGAATTTAATACTCTCTAAGGGTTAAAAAAAAAATTAAGCAAAAACATTTAATACAGTAACTGTATCTGGCAGTCTGATAATATATATATGATATTCTTTCTTAGTAGCTCCCCTCATATTTGCCCTAACAGGAATGGAATTTTTCATTGTCTTTTCCCCAGATTGCTAGCCAGTTTTTTATTTGCTAAGACTTCCTATGAGGGGAGGGAAGGGGGAAGAGAATAAGAATTTATGAAGCACCTACTATTTGCCAAGAATTGTGCTTAGTGTTTTACAAATATTATCTCATTTCATCTTCACAATAAAACTGAGAGTTAGGTGCTATTATTATCATTATTTTACAGGTGAGGAAACTGAAGCTGACAGAGGCTGAGTGATTTTCCCAGGATCAAAGAACTATTACATGTCTGAGGTGGGAATTGAACTCAGGTTTTCTTGACTCCAGGTCTAATGATTCATCTACTGCACCACCAAACGGCCTTGTAATGGTCTTTCCATTTAAACAGTCATTGTATATATTCTCTTGCCTCTGATTATTTTACTGTACATCAAACAAATCTAGTATTTCTCTGAATTCTTCGTAGTCATTATTTCTCTCTTCACAATAATATTCAATTACATTCCTGTGACATAATTTTTTTCATTCATTTTCCAACCAACGGGCTTGATTTCTAGTTCTTTGCAGTGCTTCTATGAACAACAACTTTGACTTTAAAACTTTGATCAAAGAAAGGACCAATCATGATTCTAGAGGACTCATGAGGAAGCAAGCTACCCACTTCCCTCTGCCTCCTACCTCCTGAGAGGTGACTGGCTTAGGATGCAAAATAAGATTTTTTTTTTTGGATATGAATGCTGAGGGAATTTTGTTTTCCCTTGAATGTGTGTGTGTGTGTGTGTGTGTGTGTGTGTGTGTGCGTGTGTGTATGAGGAATATTGGGAAAAGAAGTGAGAATGATGCAAGAAAATCATGAAAAGAGAATGAACAGCTTGGTAAAAGAGGCAAAAAAAAAAATACAGAAGAATAAAAGAGGCACAAAAATCCACTGAAAAGAACTCCTTAAAAAGCAGAATAGACCAAATGGAAAAATTCACTGAACAAAATAACTTTTTTTTTTTTTTTTGGTGAGGCAATTGGGGTTAAGTGACTTGCTAGTAAGTGTTATGTGTCCAATGTGGAATTTAAACTCAGGTCCTCCTAATCCTAAGGCCAGTGCTGTATCCACTGCGCCACCTAGCTGCCCCTAAACAATTTCTTAAAGAGCAAGAATTGGTCAAATGGAAAAAGAGTTACAAAAGTTCACTGAAGAAAATAATTCCTTAAAAATTAGAATTGGACAAGTGGAAGCTAAAGACTCCATGAGACATCAAAATACAATAAAACAAAGTCAAAAGAATGAAAAAATAGAAGAAAATGTGAAATATCTCATTGGAAAAACAACTAATCTAGATAATAGATCAAGGAGAAATAATTTAAGAATTAATGGACTACCTGAAAGTCATGACCAAAGAAAGAGCCTAGACATCGTGTTTCTAGAAATTATCAAGGAAAACTGCTTTTATGTCTTAGATCAGAGAATAAATAGAAATTGAAAGAATCCACCAATCACCTCTTCAAAGAGATCCCAAAATAAAACTTCCAAGAACAATCTAGTCAAATTTCAAAGTTCCCAGGTCAAAGAGAAAATACTTCAAGCAGCCAGAGAGAAAGAATTCAAATATTATGAAGCCACAGTTAGTATCACATAAGATTTAGCAGCTTCCACGTTAAAGGAGCAGAGGACTTAGAATAGGATATTCCATAAGGCAAAGGAACTAGGATTACAACCAAGAATAATCTACCCAGCAAGATTGAATATAATCCTTCAAGGGGAAGGGAGAAATTTATGTTTAATGAAAAAGCAGACTTTCAAGCGCTCCTGATGAAAAGAGCCATTCCCCAATTGATCAAAGGAAATAAACAGGTGGTTTTCAGAAGAAGAAATCAAAGCTATCTATAGTCATATGACAAAATACTCTAAATCACTATTGATTGGAAAAATGCAAATTAAAACAATTCTGAAGTACCCCCTCACACCTATCAGAAATAACAAATGCTGAAGGGAAAAATAGGGACACTAATGAACTGCTGGTAGAGAAGTGAACTGGTCCAACCATCCTGAAAAAAGAATTTGGAACTATGCCTAAAGGGCTGTAAAACTATGCATACACTTTGACCCAGCAATATCACATCTAGGTCTGCATCCCAATATGATCAACAAAAAAGGAATAGGACATACATGTACAAAAATACTTAAAACAGCTGTTTTGTGTTAGAAAGAATTGGAAATTGAGGGGATACTCTTCAACTGGGGAGCAGCTGAACAAGTGGTGGCATATGATTGTGATGGATTACTATTATGCTAATAGAATGATGAGGGGAGGGGCAGCCAGGTGTCACAGTGGATAGAGCTCTGGCACTGGAGTCAGGAGGACCTGAGTTCAAATCTGGGCTCAGACACTTGACACTTACTAGCTGTGTGATCCTAGACAAGTCACTTAACCTCATTGCCTCACCAAAAAGCTAAAAAAAAAAAAAAAGAGTGATAAGGAGAGTGGTTTCAGAAAAACATGGCAACATCTGTATGAACTGATGCAAAATGAATTGAGAAGAACTGGGACATCACTGTACACAGTAACAGCAATATTGTAATGATTATCAACTGGGAAAGACTTGGGTACTATGATCGATACAACGATCTAAAAACAATTCCAAAGGAATCATGATGAAAAATGCTATGAGTGCAAATCGAAGTATAATTTTCTCACTCTTTTTATTTTTCTTGTTTTTTTTTTAAATATGACTAATATGGAAATGTGTTTTGCATGATTTCACATGTATAATAGATAGCATATTGCCTTCTCAGTGGGTGGAACAGGAGGTGGAAAGAAGGGAGATCATTTGGAATTCAAAATTTTAAAAGAATGTGAAAAATAAATAAATAGTAATAAAATTTAAAATATAAAATAAAATAATTATGAAGGGAGAGCTAACATCAAGTCCTGGAAGACCTTTGTTCAAGTATAGCCTCTGGCCATGTGACCCTGGACAAGTCACTCAATTTCATAGTCAAATCACTAAGACTATGAGTCACATAAATTGGCCTATCTGCATTGGTTGAGGAACTTTCTTCAACAGGAGCTCCCCACACCAGTGAAATCACAGGTCCAAATCAAATTAATAAAGAATCTTATTTTAAAAACAATAAGCATTAAAAAAAAATTTTAAAGTCTAACTTTACTATAATATTATCCTGTGAATTTTTTTTAAAAATACATATAAGCTTTCCCAGATTTCTCTAAACCCATCCATTTCATCATTCCTTATGGTACAATAGTATTCCATTATAGTCATATAGAGAATGCTTTCTATTTTTCCATGAAAAACATGCCCTCACAAATGAGGGGCACCTATTTGGCCACCCACTGAATAAGGAAAACTCTAAGGAATGTGTCTTATGAATTCTAACCTCAGGCCCCAACAGGTCTGAGAAGATCTCAATCATCAAACAGGTCTGTGGATCAGACAGTTGTTGGTGGTGGTGGTGGCCCTTCATTCTCAAAGAGGACCAATGACATCATGAGGGTGACAGCTTGACTTGCGAGTGGATTGGATTTAAGTGAGGCAAAGCTGTGCAAAGTCATCAGCCTCACTCTCTCCTCCAGAGTCATCAGAGTCCAGTGGCAAGACAAGTCATTTGACTGGCAATGGCCCAGGACACAGTGGGAGACCTTGGCCTTTTTAAGCTGAGGTCTTTCCTAGGTCTCAGTTTGTCTAAGGCAACACTCATATCAGACTGAGTATCAGACAAACAAAGGACTAACTAAAGAGAAAAGAATTTATTAGTGAGAGAGAAGTGTCCAAAGAGAGTCCCACTTGGATGGACAAATTTGGGGTTCTTATAATATAGCAAAAGGGGTCTAGGTACAGAGCCGATCAGCAACATTGTTCAGCAGGAAGGAAAGAGGGGAGAGGCAATTACGAAAGTATCAAGAAGATGACAAAAGTCAGGTTTATTCCCGTGGAAAAACGAATCCCTCTGTGGTTAGTAATCTTTAAGATAGTGGAGGTCTCCTGAAAGATAAAATCGGTCTTGCTCTTCTTGTAAACGTCCTTAAGAAGAGAAAAAGAATACAGTCTGAGGGTGTCTCTTGTTATTGCCCCATGGCTTTATTTCTGTGGCCTTGGAGGTTTCTTCATCTGGGAACTCCATGTTTTCCCAAACTTCACAGTGCCCAGGTTCATCCACCTCCTCCACAATCCTTTCAGTTGTAACATTTCATGAGTCTGGAAAGCTGACTGGAAACAAGTAAGTGTGTGCTGCTTTGAGAACATGTCGTATGCAAAAATTCAAAATAACAAAACAAATGAATCGGGGTGGGGAGATTGTGAAAAGTTACACTGGACAGCACGTATGTACAATCACTCAATTAACAAGCATCTATCGAGGGCCTGCTAAGAGTGTCAGGTGCTCTGCTAGATGCTGGTGTCACAAACACAAACACGAAGCAGTGCTGGTTTTTCAGGACCTTCTGGTCTATCAGGAACACAACATGTGCATCAAGTACATCCTGAGTAGATACAGAATAGAGCATATACACGAAGCAAGAAGGAGGCCATTTGGCAAGGTGGAGGGGAGGCACTAACAGTTAGTGGGGGGGACATTCAGGAAAGACGCTCTATAGGAAGTGACATTTGTGCTGAACT